CCAACGTCGCGGCCGCGGGCGGCGAATGGGCGGGCCTCGTGCGGGGCGGCGGGCGGCGGCTCCGCGGTCCTCTGGGGGCGGGGGCGGGGGTTGGAGCCGGAACCGGAGCCGGGTGGGGGGGCGGAGGAGGGAGGGAGTGGGGGGTAGAAGTAGAGCGCGGAGGGGGAGGCTGGCTTCGAGTGGAAGGAGGAAACCCCAGGCGCAGAAGCAGGAGACCGGAGGGGGGGACGGCTCGCGGTGGGAAAGGACGGGATCGCCCCTGGTGTCCTATGATACGAGACGTTGGGATGGGATGGGTCTGGGAGGCTTTCGTTTTGGGAAGTTGCCTATTTTCTTGCTCCTTTTGAATTTCGTGGTTAATCGGTTGCCGTCTTATCGGGGCACGGAAAACGGAACGGGTTCAATGCCCCCGTTTGATCTTCTTTGCAACGGTAAGTTTTTAGATTTTGTACCGCGGCAGAGAGCTGTAGCCGTTGTTGCTTGCGGTGTGAAAACAAGTTTTTTTTTTGAGGGAAACGGAAATCGACGGGATTTGTAGACCTGGCATCCGGTGATTATAGACCGTTGCAGACGTGGCTGCACTCCCTAGGCCATGTTCAAATCTTATTTTTACGTTTATTTGTTTTTTTCTTTTTTGCTATAAGAGCATAAAGCCTCTCTTTTTTAACGTGCACGCCCCATGGGAAAAAGAACATTACAACCAAACCTTTGCGGTTCACCGTGTCTTCTACTTCTAGGACACCGTCGCCGCCGCCCCTTGGTTGCCAAAGCCGGCCACAACTTGTATCCAACAGTTGGGAAGTCGTAACTCGTAAGGCTCCGGACCCGGAGAACCAGCACCCCAGAGAAGAAGTACCCCATCGCCATAAAAGGACCATCACCGAGCTAGCACATCCGCCATCTCATGAACAAGACCTCCACTATCGTCGCAACAACGATGAAAAGAATGCCAATGCAACGGGGTGGAGCCAAGAGAAAAGATGTTGGCGGCACCGATGTCGCCTTGTCACCGGCACTCCGACAAGCTAGATGCACGGCCCAAAAAGACTGGTGACAAAGCATCCTCATGGACTCCTCACCGCCGTCGTCGAGGATGTTGACACCAGATTTTGGCATGGTTAAAAATCCGGGTTCGTATGCAAAAGTTAGAGGCAACACTTCGCGGGCCGGCCCTGAGTGGGAAAGAAAACTCTTGCCGGGGTGGAAACCTTGTCAGAGAGGAACCCTGGTCGGAGTACAAACCTTGCCGGAGTAAAACTCTTGCCGGAGTACAAACCTTGCCGGAGTGAAGCCTTGTCAGAGAGGAACCCTGGCCGGAGTACAAACCTTGCCGGAGTACAAACCTTGCCGGAGTGAAACCCTTACCGGAGTACAAACCTTGCCGGAGTGAAACCTTGCCGGTGTGAAAGCTTGCCGGATAGAAACATTGCCGGTGTGGAAAGCTTACTCGGATGGAAAACTTGCCGGGTTGGAGGCTGTGATAGTCAATCGGACGAGAAGTTGAAGATGAGCTCAAAAGGTTATTCAGATGATCTCGGATGGAAAAACGTTCAACATGAAAGTTGTTCGTCTCGTCGAAACGATCGATTTTGATATAAAGATCGTCCCAATCCGAATTCGTATGCAAAGTTATTGCCGCTACAAGATGCTGCTACAGTAGATGGCCGGACACTCCGGAGGCAACCCTCCGAATTCCATATTTTTCTGCTGTAGGCCGGACACTCCGGGCATGTCCGTCCGGGGTTTGGATTTTTCTGCTGCAGACTTCGGTAAACAGCCAAAAACTCTCTCAAGATGGCCTCTAATCAAAAAACGTTCAACATGAAAGTTGTTCGTCTCGTCGAAACGGTCAAGATTGCTTTTGGGCACGTTTTCATCTGAGATCGTTTACTTCCTCAAAAGTGACCCGCAAGGTTCTGCCAGGTTGTAAACCGAACAATTTTGGAAAGTCCGGATTCCGAGTTGGACCCAAACTAGGGTTTTGGACGTGAATTCTAACCTTTCCTTGCACGGAAAGTCCATCCGCCTCTTATATACCCAAGGGGTGACGGCTGATTGAACAACACACAATCAAACAAATCAATATACTACTTTTTCATCTACGTTTTATCTCTCCACCGTTTTTCTATCTCGTTCTTCGCTGTTCTTCGTGTTTGAGAGCTGCGAATCCCGAGGCTCTAGGGGCGAGCGAATCGACCTAGGGCAGCCCATAGCCGCCGCACTCCCTGACGGGGTCCCTCCCGGGGGTGTGGGGTTTTCGGGTCTGCAAAAGCGCCCGTCGACTGTCTTGCGTATCGCGCTGTCAGACGGGTCTCCTTCGATGTGAGCTGTGGTGCATCACCCCCGGCGTCGAGGGTACACGTGACATGTTCGTGTGTCAACACGCTTTTTGGCGACTCCGCTGGGGACCGAACATCAATCATCATCATCCACCATGTCCGATCTTCCCAAGCCATCTGAGGTAGACGCCGATAACATCATTAAGCCTAGTCTTGATGAGATATCGGCCGATCATTGCCAAGTCTATGAGGAGTACAAGAAGGCGCGCGAGGAGAAGGACTTGCAGGAGTTCCTTGCAAAGTTCAAGAAGGATCACCAAGGAAACATCACTCCGATTGAAGAAATCAAGTTCCCTCCTCTTCAAGCCGAGCAGGTTAAACCCTCTGTAAGTACTGCCTTTTCTCCTGAGCAGTGGGCTGAGATTGAAAGTCGTATTGTTGATGGTAACAATCTAGTCTACCAAACTTTCATAGAAAATACTAATGCTCAGAAGAATACATCTCAATCGTCTAGTGGTAATGATGGTGTAGCTGCTAGTGTGCAAAACACTAATCTGGCTTTACCTATCTCATCGGTGCCTCCCATGCCGATGACTTATTATCCTACTCAAACAAATCAGATTATGACTGCACCCATTAATCCTATTATGAGCATGCCAGGTTCGGTGGCAACGCCGAACCAAACCCTACCTATAGCTACAACCACTCGGCCATTACCGAACTATAGTTCGGCATACATGCCACAGTTCATACCTATTGCTAGTAGTCCTACTCCTCCTATGCCGCTGCCACAAGTTGCGTCGTCCACTATGGATGGTGGTCTAGCTAATCTTAAAGAGTATATGGCTAAGATGCTTCGAGAGAATTTTGGAGTTGAGTTACCTCGGAATCGGATTTACCAAAAGTCGTACCCCGAGTACTTTGATGCCATCCAGTGCCCTCCGGGATATAAGATTCCAGATTTTGTTAAGTTCAATGGAGAGGGCACAAAAACCACATGGGAGCATGTTAGTCAATATTTAGCACAATTGGGTGAGGCAGGCTCATTGAATGAATTGAAAGTGCGTTTATTTCCTTTATCATTAACTGGTACCGCATTTTCATGGTTTTCTTCTTTACCGCATGGTTCCATTCGGGTTTGGTCGCAGCTAGAGCAGAAGTTTCATGATCATTTTTATAGCGGCGACAATGAACTCAAGTTGTCACATCTAACATTGGGTAAACAAAAGCATGATGAATCGGTCTCCGATTACGTCAAGAGATTTAGAGAAACAAAAAACCGGTGTTTTAGTTTGGTGATAACCGAGAGGAACTTGGCGGCCCTAGTGCTGAGTGGTTTGAGAACTCCCATTAGAGAAAAGCTAGAAGGCTATGAGTTTTTAAATATCAACCAAGTCTTACAAAGGGCTTTGGCTCAGGAAAACCGAAGCAAAGACCTCAAAGAAGTGCATAGATACAAAGTCGATCGTCCAAAGATGAATATGGTGGAATATGATAGTGATCACTCGGACAATGAGGGTGATGTTTTTTCTACTGAATTTGTTTGGCCATCTAAAGCCAAACCATTTACTTGCAATGATCTGAAACCGATTCATAAGAATCGTGATGAAGAGATGAAGTTTACTTTTAACATTGCTAAGTGTGATAGAATATTTGATACTTTGTTGCAGGCTAAGATTATTAGAATATCTCATACTTTACCGCCGTTTGAAGAGCTGAAGCGGCACGCTTATTGCAAGTATCATAATTCTTTTTCTCATGCTACTAACGATTGCAATGTTTTTCGACGACAGATACAATCGGCCGTTAATGACGGACGATTAAACTTTTCTGAGATGCAAGTTGATAAACAACCTTTCCCAATGAATACCATGGATTTGGAGGGGAAGAAGCTACTCATTCGGCCAAAGGTAGCCGAATTTGCTAATAAAGCTAATGTTATTGTTGGTGAGCCCAGGAAAGACAAGGAGGACAACAAGATCTTGGGAAGACAGGTTGTGCTTGATAAGCAACTTGGTGGCAAGGAGATAATCAAGATCACCATCAAGAATTCGACACTCGGGGGGGCAACCACAAGTGCAAAAGAACACTCATGTCAGATTTGTTAAGCCCAAGAGTCCAGAAGTTGGTAAGTGGAAGACGAATGAGTCTAAAGTGCAGCGCAAGAAAATCAAGCCAACTTTTGATATGTTGTTGTCCAAGTATGCCAATCGTGCGGCCGGTTCTAACTCTGACCGGTCATCAAATTTGAAGCACTCAAGGTCACCTCCTCGGGAAGAATTTCAGCATCATGCGAGGCCATGTGGGTCGTGGGCGTCGGGACCATGGATGCCGCCACTCCCCTATGCGCCATACTACATGGGAGGTTTCAATGGAGGATGGGGGCAGCCCCCAATGACCCCTTATGCTTTTCATCCGGGTTGGACAGAACCAAGGAGGCTCGTTCATGAGAGACTTTCTTATCCCACACGAGGCCGTTTGAACAATGGTATCAATCGGCCAGTGCAAGATAATCAAAAAAGGGTCGGCAATCAAGAATGGCGTGTTAAGTCGCCAAGTGCTGCAATGGTCGAGTCAAGCAAAGGCAAGGAAAAAAACGATACCGACTCACTCATCTTGGGCTCCGAAACATTCGCCATACAACAGCCGATTATGCATAACGATCCGACTGAGCCGATACTTGCTATCGCGCCAAAGCACTCGGCTAAAAACCTTGAAGAAAACACCAGCCAAGTAAAGACGAGAGATCCTACACACACTCAACCAAAGTGGTGTCCTCCGGGGTTAACAAAGACACAAAAGAGGAAACTACAGAGGTTAAGGAGTCAAGAGATGACATAACAAGAGGCCGAGAAGCAAAGGGATAAGTTGTTCAACGACACTCGGCCCATGGTGCTTACAAAACAAGTGTGTAGGCCTAAACAAATACAAGATGCAGTGGCTTCTACACCTACCACAGCAGCACCTGCGCCACCAAAGGAGGACGATGCGACAGCTATTACATCGTCTGTGACACTTCTTACTTCTCCTTCACTTGGACAAATTTCAGAATCAGTGGATGCACTTGAAGAAGAGGATGATATGTTGGACTATGAGTATACGCCAGTTCATGAAGGTATGGATATCAATATGGTATATTACTTACCTGCTAAGTTTCGTGCTGTAGATGAGGAAGGGGAGGTGGTTCAGCTGGATTTTGGCCCTAAAAATGCAATATTCGAGAAGCCAAAAGACCCAGTAACGCATCTGAAACCGTTATATCTCAGAGGTCATATCAATGGGTCACCGCTCACTCGGATGCTTGTTGATGGTGGTGCTGTGGTGAATCTTATGCCGTATTCGGTCTTCAAAAAATTGGGGTTGCATGATGAAGAGTTGATAAAGACCAACATGGTGCTCAATGGATTTGAAGGCAAAGAGAAAACTAAAGCCAAAGGTGTGATGTATGTGGAGCTCACGGTGGGAAGTAAAACTTTGGCTACCGCATTCTTTGTCGCTGAGGTGCAAGGTAACTACAACGTCATACTAGGCCGTGATTGGGTTCATGCAAACCACTGTGTGCCATCCACTA